AACCCCCGGGGCAGCTGGAAGGCAGGTGGTTAAGGTCAGGATATAGGAGTCAGCTTCTTTTGTTAAAGTGCCTTTCTTTCTTTCAGCTTTTAAAACATCTTCCTTGCTTTTTCAGCAGAAGGGGAGGCAAAAAAAAAAAAAGAAAAAGGAATACTGGTTTTGTATGAAACAGAGTAGAGAATTAATCAGTATTTACACAGAACTGGGATAAGGTTATGGCACAGACTAATAACCCAAGGCAGCAACCCGAAAAGCAGAGTGTCAAAAAGAAGGGAAAAACCTGTTCGTATGCTTTCAACACCATCCCCTGGAGATCCCAAGTGTAAACGGTTTTATCTAGGAAAAGGCGTTTTAACTTGGGCTTTGGTAATCGGGGTTGATTGCAGCCACGTTGCGCAGCCGGCGGGGAGGACGTGGGTGGGCGCGCGGCCGCCCGACCTCTCCAGAGCACAGCCTGGGTTTAGACAAGTTCCACTTTCGCGTTGGGATAAACAGCCACCACGTCATAGCCCTCGGGGGGCTTAACCCTCTCCTTGGCGTGCGTCTCGCAGTAGAGCTGCTCCTCGATGAAGAAATACCCGCGCTGCTTCAGGTTGAGGCCGCAGTCGTCGCACATGAAGCACTCGGGGTGGTAGAGCTTGTCCCGAGCTTTGACGATCGTGCCCCTGGGGAGAGACGGGGAGAGCTCGCGTGAGACCGAGAAACGAGTGGCTTTTCCTGCTGCCTCAAGTGAAACGGAGTCAGCGAGGGAACGCGGCGTGTGGGAGCGCGTAGGGGTGTTATCACGGGTTCCCATCCCGGCGCCTGAGCCCACCCAAAGCTGCCACCCCGCTCCGGGCACAGCTCCGCCGTCTTCCTGCGGGAAGGGATGCTCCGGCCCGGGACCAGCCTCCGCGGAGCGCCCAGGCGCCACGGCTCGCGGAACAGAGACCCTCAGCCCACCGCACCGGCGAGAGCGCGGTCACGGGCGTTTGCAGAGCAGGGGCCACGCAGCCAGCAAATCTGGCTTGAGCAGAACGTAAGTTACAACGGAATACAAACTACAGCAGGATGAGGCAGGAAAACACCTGTATTCTCGGAAATCAGACCCAACATCCACCCGCCGGAGAGCAGCTCTCCAACAAACCAACCAAAACAACCCGCAGACCGTTTCGACTTGACCCTCCGAGCATTTCTCCCTCCGTCAGGCAGCGAGAGTGCTGGTGCTGTTCCTAGTCCCCAGGATTTACTGCGATAAGCGAGGCAGAAACCACCCCATGAATCATTCCGTTTCGCTGCAAGATTCCCTTAAAAGGGGCAATCCAGACCGTATTCCTCAGTCCCAGGTTTCCCTATGGTTAGCAAAAACCACCTCTGGGCCAGGGGCTCACAGCTGGGCTCCCCGCTGCTCCAGTTGCTTCCTAAGTGCCTGGAGGGATTTCATCACCTCCTCCCCGCTGCGAGGCAGACCCAGATGGCAGCAGCCTGGGGGTCTAGAAATAAGGACTACAAAAATATAGCGAAAGCTGGGGAAGAGTCAGGATGGCCAAAGCAAGGGCAGCCGAGGGGCAGGGGCGCGGGAGGTGGGGACAGCTGAGGTGGGGTCCGTGCTATTTCAGTGTCCTTTAAAGGTGCTGCTCGGGTGATCAGATGAGAACAACTGAGGAGTGAGAGAAGGAAGATAAAAGCCTCATCGCACGCTCGGTGCGGAGATCTCGGGGAACTCGGATCGGTCTGTGTCAGCCTCTAATGGCAGTGCCCTGAGCCAGGGAATTTCACAGAAAATGCTGTTTTAAGAGACTGCCCTTCCTCAGCACATCTGCAGCGATGGGGCTGATCCGGGGCCCCCGACCCACCGGTACCTCGTCCCAGACTCCTCACGGGGTCGGTTTTTAACCCCCGGGGCAGCTGGAGGGCAGGGGGTTAAGGTCAGGATATAGGAGTCAGCTTCTTTTGTTAAAGTGGC